GAGAGTGGCGTCCTTCGTGCTTGTTCGAATGACCTGGCGGTCCATGATGTCTGGTGTCGAGGGGAACCGCATTGGATGGTTCAAGGTAGCATCGTGAAGTTGCATACGCAGCGCTGGTATCAGAGCCGAGATCGCTCGGAATGACGGTCGTGGCTAAGCCGAGCCTCCTGTCTTATCCGATGTGGGTTATCTTTTCGCTGGTAGGAACCTCAGTCCACAATGCCATCTCTTCCGTAAGCTGAGTCTCCACACTATCACCCGTACTGTATAGCGCTACTGCACCTCGCTTCGAGGGTATACTGCGGGTCAACTGTAACAGGCATTTGGGCGTGTCGCGTACCCCATCTTTCTTACGAAAAGTCTTGTAGAACTCGTGCATGGCGACGCCTTGTAGTCCTTATCGCGGCCGAATGCATGGAGTTTTTGTCAGGCCAACGGCAAACGGTCCGTCGCAACGACAACTTCCGATGATCATAGCCACGCCCTACGACGATAAGGCTTGGTGACCAACGGGAATGCAAAAGAAGGTGTAAGCTTGTGCAGTACTGCCCGCTGCGGTCGTGCATGTAGATCTGTATATGAGCAGGGCATCGTTCCCTTCATCTCACACTCCTCATCATATCCATCTCTTCTTTACACCACGATGAAGGGCCTTTTCACAGCCTCTTCGGCTGCCCTGTCTTTGGCGGGTGGTGCTATTGCCAGCCCAGTTGTTCCTCGATCGGAGGTTGTCTTCTTCAAGCCTCTGGCTGTCACATCCAACTCAGTACACAACGTCCATGTCGGCTACGGAGATGATGACTTCGAGGGCGAGATTCGTCTGGTATATGGCGAATGCGGCATGAAGAGCCACGCCGACGGTCACCACGACGTGGCATCCCACTACATCAAGCGTTCAAGTCGTCCCGAGCGGTTCGTCTGGATCGTACCGGATGATGCTGTCCACGGCGGATGCCTTCACGCCTACTCGGGCTCTAACCTGATTGGCCGCTCAGCGCCCATCTCGATCCAGCATCCACCAAGGAAACGAGAAGAGATCTCCGACGTGGCTGATGCCATGGGTCCTTGGTTCGACGGTGTAGCCTACATGGAGGCGAAGCAAAACAACGCATCGTACGCCGCAGTCGAGAAGAGCAAAAAGATCGCCATTGTTGGTGGAGGCATGTCGGGGTTGATGACAAGTCTTCTCCTCGACTCCGTAGGCATCCACGATTGGCATATCCATGAGTCCTCGCAGCGTATTGGCGGCCGTATCAGGACGAAGTACCTAGCAGGCAGCACACCCGAGCAATACCAGTACCAAGAGATGGGGCCTATGCGATTCCCCGTCTCGATCACCTACCCGGACCAGAACGAAACACTGGAAATCAATGACCACAAGATGGCCTTCCAGCTCGGAGACGTCTTGAACCAGATGAACGGAGGCAACACCAGCGATCTTGCTGTCAATTTCATCAACTGGATCCAATCAAGCCCAAACCTGCCCGCTAACTCAAATGGGTACCGTCTGCCAAACGGCCGGATCCCTAGCGCAGCGCAGATCAAGAGCAACGCAACAGCCTACACATTGCCAGCAGCTGAGGGCCCAGATGAGGAGGCCGTGGAGAAGGCGGAGGAGGCATACGAAGAATTCGTTGGATACACACCGGAAGTTGAGCGTGAGATAGCCACCAATGTCTTCAAGGCTCACAAGAATGCCGTCGACAAGGGTCTCTTCCATTGGTCCGAGGCTGCGTACATCAAGTACGCACTGAACGCCAGCGATGATGTTGTGGACTACATCACCGGCAACGCCGACGCTCCGATCTGGGAATACGACACTGTATACTTCAAAGCCACGGATTGGCGAACCATTGACAAGGGTCTGGAGTCATTGCCGCGTGCATTCTACCCCCACGTCCAGGACCGTTTGACTCTAGGGCGCAAGGTAACCGGTCTGAAGCACGATGAGAGCACCGGAAAGATCGCTGTCCAATGGCGCCAAGATCCTTTCGCCATGGAGCCGGAGAGTGAGGAATACGACTACGCAGTCGTTGCGGTGCCTTTCTCCAAGGTCAGGCTCTGGGATCTTCCCCAGTACTCCTCGCTTCTGTCGCGCGCCATTAGCGAGATGAACTACCAGCAGTCCTGCAAGGTCTCTCTGCACTACAAGACTCGATTCTGGGAACACCTCCCAGAGCCCATCATCGGTGGCTGCGGCTCAGTCGACATCGCAGGTATCGGCAGCGTTTGCTACCCCGCGTACAAGGTCAACTCAACTGGGCCCGGTGTCATCCTTGGATCGTACATCTCTGGTACTCTAGCGCGCTCGGTGGGTGCGCTCAGCGAAGAAGACCACGTAGCACTGGTCCAGCGGGCGATGGTGGAGATTCATGGCGATGTGGCTTCCGAGCAGTGGACTGGTGCATACGAGCGCCAGTGCTGGGAGACCGACGAGCACCAAGCCGGTGCTTGGGCCTCCCCATTCGTTGGCCAACAAGACCTGTTCCTGCCCGCCTACTACAAGACCGAAGCCCAAACCATCTTCATCGGTGAGCACACCAGCTACACACACGCTTGGATCTTCTCAGCACTTGACTCCGCCGTGCGCGGCACTTCGCAACTGCTCCTAGACATGGGTCTGGTCGACGAGGCGAAGCAAATCGTGGATACCTGGATGGGAAGGTGGATCTCCATATAGATGGATGAATAGAGAGTAAAAGCTAGATAAACAGTATAACAAGGAATAATGTCTGATCAATGCGACAACGCACTGCAAATGGTGGTGAAGTGAGGTCGTGAGAATTATTGAAAGACGCGTGGTGCAGGCGCGATGGGGTGCGACTCCCCTGCGATGGCGTCATCGCCCCTGAAAGTTTGAGACCGAGGCTTTCACATGCATGTCTTCAACCATCCACAAACATTTTCGCGGAGCTCTTTTCGGCTCTCCATCAACGATGTGACAACAATCGCGCATGGAGCCGTTCTGCATCAGCGGAGAATGCGATTGTCCAGCAGAATACCGCGTCGTCCTTGCTGCCAATAGCAAATCATGATGCCGATCATGGTGAGTATCCTTGGCGAATGTTGACCACGTGATCACGCGTTTAGTCACTGCCAAACACGATTACCAGCTGCATCTGGGCAACCTGGACACGACGGTTGATGCCGCAACACTCACGGACTCGAGCTGGTATTGCTCAATGTGTTGCACGTTCAGACCGAGCGATTGGACCGACATTGCCATCTTACCTGTCCAAGAGGGTTCCTAAACAGATGCGCTGCCGTCTACATCAGTGTGGAAGAAAAGGAGTAGCCAAAACCCAAGGTGATGTAAGCTTCTAAGAGTGTTGTACGTCTAAGCGTGATGCTACCACGAACCCCGATCGATGAGCCAACTCGTCATTTCCGAAGTCGCGCCGCACCCCGGTAAGAGTCTGGATATGTAAATGTGACGGAGTTCCATCGCGCGCAACACGAGTTGCTCAAACAACAACATCTCTGGACCATGGCGACACCTCATCTAGAGAATCCAGTACCGTCGGCTGGAACCCTCAAGCGAGTCCATGATATGCTTGACAAGTAAGGCAAACCTTATGTGAGATACAGCTATCCTTGCTGATAATTCCAAGAGACTGGACCAAACTAGCGCCCTCTACGAAGAGGATCAAGACCTTAGTCCACGATAAAGAACGAGCACCCCTTATTGTCAAAGCACTATCGCGTGGAAATGCTCGCCTTGCTTCCACTCCTTACGCCTACGATATACGCGAAGCCTGGAAAGCCTGGAACAGCTACGCGGAATCTCTTCCTTCCAAAATCTACCTTGAGGCACAGAAGAGGAACCGCATCTTTTCCAAGTCTAACTACAACAGAGAAGTTCGTCGTTCTGTATGTCACGGACTTCTCGAGAAGATTACAGCGCGAGAGATTCGGGACCAGATACATGGATATCTTGTTGTACCGAGTACCGTTAGGCTCATTGGGATCTTGGATCACGACCACCTTCACTACAACGACTACGGCCAAGGCAGTACATACGTGGGTCAACGCGGAAAAGCCTGTTTGTCTATACAAAACGGCGAACGTTGGACGTTCGATTTGCAATGTCCGCGGTTGGATCTATCGGACATTTGGCTGTGCGAGCGTGTCGGCCACAAGTTCTTGGTGGAACTAGTGGAGCATTGGTACAGAGTCAATACCTTCGCCATCTGGGAACCCGATGACTTATCTCTCATCGCCGATTTCGCTACCCAAGATCGCTGGCAGCTGGGCATTGTGCCACGAGACCATATCAGGAATGTTCAATTCAATATGTCCATGGCTTTCGTCGCGCGAGATCGCCATGGTGTACCGCCATGGCAACTGCCACTGCTGCGCCACCGATTGGAACAGTTACTGCATTTCAAGCAAGGTACCAGGATTAGGCTCGGGATTCTCAGCTGCAAAACAACTAGAAGCAGGTCCCGCCGGAGCGCATTTTCACACGGCATTATGGAGGTGGCCTTGTGGGCACGAGATAAACGCATTCTTTGGGAGCGCGACGAAACCGAGAAACTGGAGTTTGTTAAGGATCTTGAGAGCGGACTCTTCGATACATTCAAGAAACTATGTGCAGCTGGGCTTCGATTGGTGTTTAAAGTGGATGATGGTTTGGTTTTCTCCGTCAACAACGAGGAAGAGATCGCCTATGATTTGTGGGTGGAGAAGATATTGGCTTATCAACCGGCGAGGAAACAGCGCCACTACTTTGATTGGAGAGTACAAATGGACTAATTTGTACTTAAGAAACTTAATATCCACGCCTAGAGCGTCTCAGAGACTTTCGATCTTCTCCGCCGCACCCTTGCATCGCCATGTCATCTCCAACACAAGATATTACCTTGCCCTTCTTCCTTTTCCATCACCCTGTCGTCTCCGACGCAGGCTATGACCTTGCACTTTGTCCTCTTCCATGAACCTGTAGTCTACAATGCAGACCCATAGAACTCGTCAGACGAATCAGATTCATCACTGGCCGCTCATTCACGGAGGGCGCGTTTCGCAAGTATGGCCTGGGACGAATTTAGCCAGTGTCTGTCCCCACACCATGTGACTTACTTTGTCATTATCCTCGATTTTCTCCTTCCAACACTCTTCCGTCAGCTCCTCGCTTACAACCTTGAACTTCAAGTGGTAGCCCAGCTTCACCGTGACATGGTATTTGGCTGCAATCAAGTTCTGAATGCCTGGAAAGAGGAGTGCGAGATCCTGGGGCGGGACTGCTGCGCTGGGGTCTGCCATTGCCCTGAACACTGCGTCTGTCGGTATAGCCTGGAAGCTGAGCAGAACGTTGGCACCAGTCTTGAGCGTGTAAAGCTCAGCCAGATCTTTAGCGAGTTTGTCACAATCGCCTGACGAGATAACAGGGGTGAACAGCTATCAAGTCGTTAGCAAAGATAATAAGATGTCTTAAAATTGCCTAAGCTAAAGCGTAGCAAGGAGAGTACATCTTCTTGTTTGCGCGCTCATCTTGTGATGATCCAATTGCAAGGAGAATACATACTAGTAAAAAGTTAGCAAAATAACTTAAGAGCTATCCGTGGCGGCTACTTTACCCTCAATACTCCGGATTAGCTTCTGCGTGTCGAGGCCGAAGCCATGAAAATCGGTTTCAAGGAACAGATTGACGTGGTGGGCTTGCATGAAACGAAACGTGGAGAGCCTGTACCATGCGTGCGCTAGCTCCAGCATCGTGTCCTTGAGTATCGCCCTCGCTTCGAGTAAGTGGCCATAACCACCACGTGTGAGTGACGTCTGGAAGTGCTTGGAACGACTTGCGATCGTGTGGCCGGGTATGGCGAATGCTGGCGAGGCAGTCGCGACCAGGTCATGATGATTGATACTGATCGCCAACTGGTCGCCGCTTATCATATAGCCGTATACCTCATTGCGAAGTTCTCGGGCAAACTTTGTTTGTAGTAGTCCCAAAAGAATTCCATGACGGTGAGTCATGTGATCCTTCAAGTACTGCTGGAGAACGTTCTCGAGCTGGTCTAGTTTTGCCGTGATTTTGGCCAGCTTTTGCTTGAGGTTCTGGAATCGCTGTCGGGTCTTCAACGTAAGATTGCTACGCCTTTGATGAGGCCTGGTGCGATTGAGCTTAGCTCGGTCGGGTACTTCGATGTGTTTCAGAATCCGAATGTGCCTGAGGGTACTGGATTCATTAGCAGCTGCTAGATTCGTAGACTCCGGACGGAACTTACTGGGAAACGTATTCATGGTCGAGAAAGAATCCTACAGCGGGCGGAGTGCGCACCTCCATGGCGATGGCCGGATAACAAGTGAGTCGAGAAGGTGGTTGAAGAAAGGCTGGGGCGGGTAGTTGAGACTGGAGGGATTGAGGGGTGGGTGCTTTTCTCAACGCAGCGTTGCGATCAGTCATCCAAAGTGCATGTGAAGGGAAAGATCACACGGACCAGAAACTCAACCTACGGAGTGAAAGATGTGGATTACAGGTCAGCCACGCCAACCCCAGGAAAACACTGAACAGCCTGGAGCCTACGTTGACGTTGGGTCACCTACTTTCCAGGATTTTGTCTTAATGTAGCCCGCAGACCTGATTCAACCTAACCAAATCTCTCAGAACTTCAACCCCACCATCTAAGCCCCCCAAAAGCGAAAGCAACATGGCTCACACAGTCGATTTGACTCGTGAAAACGTGTACATGTAAGTCATCTCAAAAGCCTCATACAAGAATCTGAACAGGCGAGCTGCAGCATACATGGGGACAAAAATGAAAGTCGCGATAACCCTGAAGGCAATGTAGACACCTGGGTCATTGATGGAGTGGTTGTTCAGTGCTAATATGAGGACCAGCACACTCAGATATTGCGCACTTATCGACCATGTTCTGAACAAGAACAGCCCACTACTCACGGCGTCCCAAATCGCAAGTCTGGATCGTACGCAGTCAGAATACGAAGACTTCGCCGATGCCCATATCGAACATTACGCGCAGCAGTCCTGTCGGGCATTGTGTACCGCCATGCAACATAAGCTTCCCCGCGAGCTCCGCGATATGATCTACGACCACATCCTCTCCCCTGCTCGAGATGAACCGGTTTTCATCAACAACGAATACTTCGATGACGTCGACGAGCCATATCGGGAGACTGTTGCGGTTTTCGCCGAGCAACGCGGACACGGATACGCGCATATGTGTAGGGAGGGATTTGTTGATCTCGACACTATGAGCGAGTTTGCACGTCGCTGGTATTATCATACCAAATTGTGGCTGTATCTCACACCTACGGAGGTCGCTGAGTTCTTCGAGACTGATATCTGGGGTCTCGGTCTGGAAGGCGATCGTCTATTGCGCCATCTCGAAGTCGAATTGTGCGGAACAGAATACGAAGATAATGTCACTCCGCTCCAGCAGTGTCTCGTCAAGCTCGCGCCTGGCGCATCGATCGTTTTCCACCTGCGAGTAGATTACATTTATGGCCCAGGTGAGTACACGTATGACGAGGAATTCACCATGTGCCTCCTCTCCGAACGCGTGAGCGCGCTATTTCCTCTGATGCGGCAGCTGATCGAGGCTGGCTATGAGTTGTATGGGGCGCTGGATGGGTATGAAGACTTTCGCGTCACTCCCGCCACTCTGGACCGAGAAATTTGGAAAGATACGCTGATAGCGCATTGCGAAGGCCGTGATGGTGGGTAGATCCTGTTGGCACTGAAGAGCTTTACTGACCACGAACAGGCGTGATCGACACGTGACCGCAGGTGGTCATGATGTGACTGGGAGTAAACATCCTCGCAGCTTCCAAGGCTACTGCAAGTGACTGGGTAAGCGCGATTGAACGGGCGTATGCTATATGTAGCGTACAATCAACCATTTGTTCTCATAATCTCGACGGTGTACGCGTATGTATGCACCTTCCTCACATGAGCGCCGCCATTTGAAAAAGGCAGTCGCGGTGACTACCTCCTCGCTCTTGCATCGCGGTATCCATTTGCGCATGCCATATGTTCCAGGTCCAGCGTGGAAGGTGGAGGTGAAGTCGTCGCGTTGTCGCACGCTGGTTGGGTGGTGGTGGTGTCGGCGTCTAGGGCGCGAGGGGTCGCGAATATCTCCGAACATAGGACCTGTTGACTCAGAAGGTATATTGGAAGCTGCTCGCCAACATCTGCAACCACAAACTCTGAATCATCAATCCAAGCACAAGATGAACTCAAAAGTCTTCCAATGGGAGCGCACTGTCGCTTCGGGCACCTACCTCATATCCTCCGACCGGTCGCTCCTTCCGTACACCTTCGTCCAGGAAGCCTACGCGACGGACGCAATGTTTTGGGCGAAACCGCTCTCTTTCACGGACCTGTCGACCATGCTTGACAACAGTCTCACCCTCGGTGTGTACTCTGTCTCGGACGGCGTCAAGAAGCCTATTGGCATGGCGCGCTTCATTACCGACTACACAACGCTCGCCTACCTCACAGACGTCTACCTCGTCCCCGAACACCAGGGCCAAGGACTCGGCAAATGGCTCATCGCATGCTGTCGCGAGATCTGCGCCGGAATGGAAAACCTCCGGTGGATGGTCCTCTTGACCGGCGGCGAGCAAGCGCAAGCACTCTACAGGAAGGAATTGGGCATGACAAAGCTTGACGGGGTGGAGGAGGGGCTGGTTTGTATGGGGGCTCGGCGGGCAAAACTCACCGAAGCAGCGGGCGCTCCGCCCTCAGCATAGCGGGACCTAGCGGTTTGCCGTCTACGCACGTATGCAGTTCCCTACCTTAAACATGGACGACTATTCCTCGCGATCAGACGCTACAGTGACAGAAACGTGGTTTGATGGTTGGTCTCGACTGATGACAACGGCTATCTTTGCTTCCGGACTAGTCGCGGGCCCATGCTGCATGCATGTCATCTCTAGCGTAGATATCGCCATCCATTTTTCTTTATTACCATAGACTACTGGTCTGGCTCGCGCCCTCGGCCTTCTGGTATCTTCCGAGTAAGCGGACGAGGCCTGAAGCCTGTTTCGAGCCGGCATGCGACGAATTGTCATCATGGAGGGGCTGTCAGGCCCTCCAGGGCTTGTTGCAACTCCGTCTGGTGGTTGTGTCGCGTCGCGCTGCTACATCGATAAGTGTATTACGCCTACTAAACTGGGATCCGCCTCCGATGCTGCCCGAGGAAGACTAATCTAGATCGCGCATGTGTAGACCTGTCGCATAGATCGCCAGGGCCTTGTTGATATACAGCAGCAGTTGACCCTGCGTTCACGTCACGTCCGCCGATCTTCCACATTCCACACCAACATGACCGCGACATTTGAGACCTCTCCACTATCACGCACATCGTCCCCGCCAGCAACACTCAAGAGAAAACGAGCGCGTTCTGATACCCAACCTCTTACCCCGCCGTTAGCCGCAAGCGACTCTGAAGGATCGCGTCTGCTCTCGCGCGCCGTCCACGTTCTTTCGACTGCTGCCACCGCGCTCTCGCAGGTCACTTTCCTATATGAGTCCGACCATGTGGCGCGCGATGGTCTCCTCCAGGCTGTCGAAGTCATCACAAAGACCAGCCAGACTGGCGGTAAACTCATAATATGCGGAGTGGGCAAAAGCGGCTTGGTGGGGCGCAAGATGGTCGCGACGATGAAGAGTCTGGGCATAGCGAGCTCCTTCATGCATGCTGCTGAGGCACTACATGGGGATCTCGGCGACATCAGGAAGGTGAGTTCGATCCCAAAGCCCGAAAGACGAGAAATGTACTGACTAGAAGTAGAACGACGCAATCATGTTCATATCCTACTCTGGCAAGACAGCAGAGCTCATGGCTCTCCTCGAACACATACCCACCCACACGCCCATCCTCGCCATCACATCGCATACGAAACCCTCAGACTGCCCGATCCTTGACGACCGGCCGAACTCCATACTGCTGCCTGCGCCTATACACGAGTTGGAGGAGGTCTCGTTTGGCGTCTGCGCGCCGACTACCAGCACCACTGTCACCATTGCGGTGGGCGATATGCTGGCGTTGACCGTCGCAGAGGCCCTACATCAAGATGAGACGAAGGCTGTGTTTAGAACGAATCACCCTGGCGGTGCGATCGGTGCGAAGTCGAGACGGATAGAGAAGGAGGATGATACCCAGGTGAAGGAGTGCGATGGGCTGGTTACGCCGCCGGCTACCTGATCGTGCTCAAGAGGAGATAATGCACACGAGGAGACCATGCTCAGGAAGATACCATGTGTGAGGCATCTGGAGACGTGTAGATCGTGTAGATCATGTACATGCGCAAGGAACGGCCGTAACGAACCAGAGGGACTTTGCCTCATGTCTTTCAGTCGATAAGTGGTCATCCCTGGTGATGTTTTACGGCACTTCGCAGGCAGAAGAGCACAGTGATGTTGCGACCCCACGCGAGCACTTACGCAAGGAAGGAACTAAACAGGTGCGCCGCAGTCAACATTGGCCACAAAAACGAAGCCCAAGAAGGCTCTAGAGTAACGTAAACATGTAGGTTACTTACCCTTCTCATCGTCACCAGCGTCGTGGTGGGCGTCCGTCCGCTTCTTTCCACGAGGCGCAGGGTAGTGGGTGGTACCTTCCCGTTCCATGTGCAGCCTGCACTCACATTTCACTCACCCTACACCCTATCCACTCCACTCACTTTTCGTATGCGTTACCATACAGGTTTCTCGCACACAACCTCCATTACCGTGCATAGATTGGACGACAGCGCTGATCGGCGCGCTCATATTGGATGTCTGCATGATTGCGGCACAGCCTCGCCATGGGTGGTGCAATGAGGGGTTGCCTTGCGCGCCTTCCGTCTCCCATCTCAATTTTCACACCCGCTGTGTATCCTCAGCTCACCAGAGCTGTAGCCTTTGGTTCCAGAATTGGACACTGGTTTGTTCCCTGATATGGCGTTCTAGCTCGCATTTTGCCCTGATACATGGAATTCTGGATCTCGCGCATCGCCCACCATGGAAGCCCTAACAGCGATTGGCTTGATCGCCAATATCGTTCAGTTTGTCGATCTCGGCGCAAAGCTTGTCGGCTCTGCAAGAGAAATGCGCGACTCTGCCAGCGGCATGACGTTGGAGAACAAGAGTCTGGAGGAAGTTACCATTCAGATGCGCGATCTAAGTTCGAGCCTGGACCCTCCCACCACGAACGCGGAAAGCTACGATGAGCGAGTCCTCCGTCAGTTAGCTCAGGAGTGCCGTGAGCTGTCAGACCAGATTCTCCGCCTTCTGAAGAAGATTGCTCCAACCAGGCCGGGCTCGAGGCGTCAAATCGTAGGCTCATTGATAAAGAATCAGAAGTTCAGAAAAGAGAAGAAAGAACTCGGAGAGAAGCTAGCAGACTGCCGTAACCGGCTGCATCTGCAATTCGACAAGTTCACCAGGTTAGTCAATGTCACGATGTCGCTCTTGGGCCCTTTCTCTGATACGGGAATAGTTCGAAAGTACATGCGCAGCTCCAGGCCCTTGGAAATCATGCGCAATCAAACCAAGCAATCTTGCAAACGTTACCGCAACAGATCGAGCGTATTCGCCGAGGCACATGTGTTGCTTCCTTGGGTGTTGAAGCCCTGGATCAGTTGAAAGAGCTACTTGGATTGACTGAAGTAGCTCAAGAATCGGTCGTAGCTCGGAGTTTCCTCAATGATCTTGCGTTTGAAGGAATGGAGGCCAGAGTTGATGTCATCGCGAAAGAGCACAGCGAAACCTTTCGATGGATTGTGGAGCAAGATGCAGACGTCGACGACGTTACATTGAAGACTAACGCTCGCGAACTATACCTTTCATGGCTACATCATGCTTTTGGAATCTTCCATATCGCGGGAAAGCTGGGGTCGGGCAAATCCACACTCATGAAATTCCTGTACAAGCATCCGGAAACACGTAAACAGCTGTTGGCGTGGGCAGGTACGTTGTTCTTCCCTGACGTGTAACGTGTTCATTGACAACCACAGATAACAAAACGCTGGTGATGGCAAGCCACTTCTTCTGGAAACCCGCGAGGCTGCGATTACAAAAGTCACTCAACGGATTGGAGAGATCGTCACTTTATCAACTGTTGTTATCCCACCAAGAGTTGACGAAGAAGGCATTCCCAGAGATTTGGGAACATCGGATGAGCATCAAAGACGGTCGGATGGAGCTACCACATAGCCTCTCCCCGGATGAAATTCGCGATGGCTTCATGGCCCTCCTACGGGATGAAACCGTTCAGCAATCATATCGATTCTGTTTCTTCATCGACGCTTTGGATGAGTACGAGGACATACCCCAATACGATCAGAAATACATGGTCGACACACTCCGCAAATGGACACAGATCGCTCCAAACTCCATCAAGCTATGTGTATCCAGCCGGGAAGAGAATGTGTTTGAGAACGCTTTTGCTGGAGATCCAAGGATACGATTACAGGATCTCACCAGGCACGATATGGAGTGTTTCGTACGTTCTAGGCTCGAGTCTGTGCAAGACCACAACACCCGAGAACGTCTTACAAGTGAGATTGTCAAGAAATCGGATGGCATCTTCTTCTGGGTTGTACTCGTCACCAAACAGCTCCGACAAGCGTTGGAAGACGGCGATGGTGCCTCTGTTTTTGAGAAGGAGTTGGCCACACTGCCTACTGAGTTGAAGAAGCTGTTCAATCATCTTCTCGACTCTATCTCCCCATTGCGTAGGGAAAGAGCGCATCAAATCTTTGCTATGGTGCTAAAACACGAGACATTGCCGATCAAACTATCGCTATTGTCTTGTCTACACCTTGATGCAAATGAAATGAAGGCACCATCATCGGTGGAGGAGCCTTCTATATTGCCTGTCCTGGACTACCAAGACGGACAAGACCCACACAAATGGTACGAAGAGCATGAAAAACAAGCTCGGAGACAACTACATGGGTATTGTAGAGGACTGGTCGAGGATCGAGTTAACCCTGAAGTCTGCAAGCAAGAAGGGGGGTCCGAGGACCCCAGACCTGAACCCGACCCTTCTAAACCCGCTGGATCGAGATGCATCCTGTTCGTACATCGCACTGTCATCGAATTTCTTGAAGATTCATTGATCCTGAAGCACGAATTGGGCGAGTTCGATGCGATTGAAACAATCTCACAGTCGCATTTGGCAGAATTCCAACGCATACCTTCTTCTCTTATCAACCCGCTGTACTGGACATACCTATACGGTAAAATCATCGAGCTACGGTTTCACTCTGGAAGAGATAGGTCGCAGGGCGACTTCATTGTGCAGCTGGAGCATTTGATCTCACGAAAGTTCCCGGGTTGGCTGGAGAAAGAGCTACCTCCCTCCGAGGAATGCGTTGACGATGCTGCAGACGATTACTGTGCTTTGAGTATTAAAGGAACAGACAGTAAAAACACGTGGGATAGACGTACACGTAAATTCCGACCCAAAGCTCCGGCTTCGATCTTGGCCTGGCTAGGTAATACTTCATATATTCTTTGGCGGGTTTCAAGACTTGACGAACCACCGCTACCTGATCAGACACGTGGCATCGTCCTACACTGTTTGATGAGTTGGTTGGACACGACCGAGAAAGCTGAAGAGCTTGAGAGAATCGTGGCCTGCTTTGGAAAACTCTTGGATGAACGCCCATCTCCTGTTACACGCTTCTTGTGGGTCAATTTTGTCAAACTTTGTTCTATATCCCTACGCCACAATGATCCCATTTGGTCTCGTACTATAGGTCAACTTATCGTCCTGTTCTTGCAGAAGTACGAGAGGAACGTTGTCCACAAAACGAAAATCGAATATGGTGGACAGGGGGAATTCGGAGGATGGGAATGTACAGTTATGAAGGTAAAAGTACCGGGCAAGGTGTCAGCGGATATGATTTTCAGGGGTTTTACACCTGGAACTACTTGCCATACTATTAGCAGGGAACTTGGCCACAACGCCTCAATGGAGCAGCTGGTGAAGTTGTGGCATCTCGAGAACGAGCGAGAAATTCTTGGATTGCTAGAACAGGAGCGCATGACCATGGAAAGCAAAGAACAAGCCGCGGACCTGGTCGTCACGGCCAAGGAAACCTTCGAGAAAAGCTCGTCCGATAGCACTCCAGCTTTCGACACAGCGTCTAGGTCGCTTCAGAGGGTCGACAGTGCAGCCGAGATTCGAAGCGAAAGCGGCGTAATAGCGTCTGGTTTGCCCGTCGAAACCAAGGCAGACGTCGATACACCCCAACCCGAGGCCGCCAAAACCCGCTCTATTCATGCATTGGGTATCGCGACAATCTTCGCCCTTCTAGGTGAGAAGATCCTAATGAGAAGCCGATGGAATTTCGCTGACATGAACTCTAGTGTTGATGTTAGCTTTTCTCATCGCTCACCAAGACTATCGGGGTCGATGGTCTTCTTTTATCGTACACTGAACACGTCCGGAGCCTACGTCGACGTTAGGTCACCTACTTTGTATGTTTTCATGTTAATGTAGGGTGCAGACCTATCTCGCGTTTTCCTAGGTCGACGTGCGAGGATATATCGCGTCTTGTATTCTATGGATGGTTTACCACAACCTCGCGAAACAAAAAGACTGATCCGATGCGCAACCACCTAGTGAATGTCTTTCCCGTCGCTGAGACAGCTTCTCTCATTTTTCTACTATATAAACGCGTCTTCACGCTGGTACAGTTTCATTTCCGCCGTCATTTCACTATATACATTCCTCATTCACAGTGGCGCAATTATATACATTCACACGACACATTGATCTAGCACTTTGCCGCACGTTCTCCGACACCACACGCCAACCCAGCATATCGTTCATCAACACCATGGTCTCACTCGCACTGTCTCGTCACGACCGGCGGTGGCTTCGGATGTATAAAAACGTCCCCAGTATAGTTCCTAGTTGAAGGCATCACATTAACGCACACACGCACCTACACAAGTTGAAGACACCACAGTCTTCATCCACCCATTCCAACAAACACATCACACCAGGTAACTCTCAACACACAAACTAACATGCCCTTCGGATCCTTCTTCGGCGGCGACAACCCTTTTAGCTCCGGTCGGTCCTCCCGCCGTGACCCCTACTCATCTTCCAGCCGCGATCCCTACGGCTACGGCTCCTCCAGTTCAAGCCGAATGACCGAGCCCTTCTCCCAGCCCTACGGCGACTACACCAGCCAACCCCGTTGTGAGACAACCGGTAGCTCTAGACTCAGCCGCGCTGCATCCCAGCGCGACCCCTACGATAGCCGGTACCAGTACCGCGACCTCAGCCCCATGCGCGCTTCCGAGCGGCCCCGCGCGTACACTAACAAACACTCTTACGATGACCACCGCTCCGTCAGCCCTCTAGGTTCATCTCGTTTCGAGCAACCATCTACTACTCGCCGTCTCCTCGCCAGCATGGGTAGGCCCAGCACTTCCTCTTCTTCTTCCCGCACTTCCTCCTCGTACGCCACACCGTCGTACGCGTCTAGCTTCCGCGAGCCACAGCAGACTAGCTTTAGTATTGATCGCGGGTACGAGCGGCCGTCTACTTCTGGTGGTTACGGCGGCGGTGGCGGTTTGTATCGTAGTAGTGCGGTGCGTGGTAGCGAGGGCCGCGAGGCGCCACGTCGTATGGGTAGCGATGGTGAGTATGGAGCGCATCTGGGGACTCAGCGTCGGCCGCAGATGGGGAGTAACTTTCAGAATGGCGGGTTTGATTGGATGAACTGGTAGGCTTTTGTGAGCGGGAAGGCCATAGATGCGAAATCCTCGTAGACCCTGGTCCTTCTTTTTTCCTTAGTTTTCTATGGCTTGTTTAGAGAGTAGGTAAGTTGGGCTTGTATAAGCTGCTTCGTACTTCACCGTATCGTTGCTTTGGAGTTCTGTGATCAGGTAGTTAGCTGTATGCAGTCAAAGTATCATTAGTCAAACGTAAACCTCGAATTTCAAATCCGTGCGAATCCGTGCGAATCCTGTGAATATGTTTGTCAAATGCATCGCGGTCTATTCTAATGTGTACAACAAACACGCTCGTTCCCCTCTAATTGCACATGTCCATGACTATGTTACTGCGTAAGACTCTTCATCATTTTCCTCCCCCTCCCTTCACTCTCGCTCGCACTCCCACTAACGCCCCCAGCCGTCGTGGTATCTTCATCTCTATACTTGTCCTCCTGTCCATCCTCCGTAATGAGGTCATGAGGCAAATTGATCGCCCGATCAAGCGCATAAGGCAGACCCCTGTGCCTACCACGCAGCATCATGAAGCAAATCACCACTTTGCCAAACGTGTTGAAGTGGCCAGACAGCGACGTGAGATTCGACGGGTGACCGAGTGAAAGACCGACGTTACCGTACGCAGATACGACTTCAAAGAAGATGGCGAAGACGTTGAAAGCCTGTTCGTATCGTTAGCCATGACATCGACTCCAATGATACACGAGGGACATCGCAAACTTACATAGTCCTCCTGACTCATAATCCTATCACTCTCCGCAATACAAATCATGAAAACCCCCAAGAAGATATACCACAAATCGAAACTGAGTTGGTTCCGCATGTGGCTGATGAGATACGTCTTACCCCCCTTCTGCTCATCGAGATTCTCATCTCCGGCGTAGAGCCCCACGGATTTCTCCTCGTAGCTCTCGCTCATGCGTATGCTGATGGCGATGGGGTAGATGGAGATGTACATCATGACTAGCAGACTGAACTGAACAGCTGGATTGACGGCTGCGAGGTTGAAAGTCGCGGTACCGGTATGGCGCGAAGATGCGGATTGGAAGATAGCGGCGAGGATGCGGGGACCGACGGGTAGGCTGTTTACCTCGGGGTTATCTAGATCGAGGACGATGATTAGGAGGGTGTCGATGAAGTTTAGGGCGAAGAGGATGGACGCGAGGATCCAGGTGGCGGTGCTGGGGAAAAGGAGGGTGTAGCATCGGCGCGGGTGGTCGAGGAGGAAGCGCAGGGATTCTTTGAGGGAAGAAGCGGCGGGTGCGATTTTGTAGATGGACCAGATGAGTAGGCGGAGGAAGACGGGGTAGAAGGTGTTGCCGGCGAAGGCGAGGAAGGACATTACCAGCATGGGCCAGGTGGCGTCGCGGAAGGTTACCATGCTGTCGGGTGTGAGGGTGAGGCCGAGGTTGTCGACCATGGTTTGGGCGGAGTAGAACGCCCTGGGAGATGTTAGAGATAGCGATGCGGTAGGGGAGGAGGTGAAGCATACCACCACGTCTTATCTTGACCCTGTGATGCGAGGTAGTCTTGATACTTGGCTGGTGCGGTATGAATCCATGGGAGGAGGCAAACGACTCCAAGTGTGTGTAGGCCGACGAAGTATCCTGGAATGATGGTTAGCATGAGCGAGCCGGATACATCGCTCTTTCTACATACCAATGGTAACCTTGAGCAGAACCTGCAGCGCGCGGTACTCAACACCACCCAATTCTTCCCGGGTCATGGAGCTCAGGTCAATGGTAGGCGTCCTGCGTGCCGGCTTGTCTTCGCTACGACGAGCGCCGCTTGCGGTACTTCCAAGAACGAAGATGGAGGATACAGCGCGGTCTACGGAGGTAGCCTTGCTCATGGTGCGCGTGTTCATGCTTCTTGTCTCTGACCTGAGGCGACGCAGTGGATTGCTCGATTCTGCAACGGGCTTGATGCGGTCTTCATCTTCGTCTTCGTCTTCGTCTGTAGCGATCATGTTAGGCATCTGCTTATGAAGATCCAATTTGCGAGCATACCATCTGACATCGAAGTGATGTGTTCGCCATTATCGCGTTCTCGTGGACCAGGGACATACAAAGCGCCCTTTTCGTTGACATGAGGTCGAGGATCTGGGGCGAATGTGATGCGAGGAGCAGGAGCGGAAGGTTGGTCGTTTGACTCGTCTATAGTGGGGACAGGCTTCTTTTCCGAGACTGTGGTCTCGCCGGTGAGACCCTCTTCAATCTTTCGCGTGTCGGCGGTGTTGTCGATTGTTTGAGCCCGGCTCATAGACAGCTGCAAGCTCTTGGGTCTACTGTGTGCCGCCGCTATTGGGAGTTAGCTTCAGCTGCAGGCTTAGAGCGACATCTGACATACCAATACCCTTGAGCTTCTGCTTGAACCAGCGTAGTCGCACAACGACGACGAGTACGTTGATGAAACCCAGATTTGTAACAATAGGCGTGATGTAAACAAAGATCTGCTGGTATGTCTTGAGAGCCTTGACATCAACACTAACGCACTGTCAGCACGGCATCCATCCCAGTACATCAACCCAAACATACGGGTTCAAGCCAGATTCAGTCGACGCGCTGACACCAAAGTAGTATGCGTCGATAGCCGAGAGATTGCCATAGGGATAGATGATGATAAGGGCCAGAATTCCGAAACTGAGAATGTATGCATCTACACCCCGTTAGCCATGCCGTTCCCGGATCAGACGGAACCGTCTGCAACTTACAATGCAGCGTGATGAAGTTGATTGGCGGCTTCCACATATTGCCTTTGTCGCTATGCGCTCAATCCGCAGTGACACACTGAGGGATTATCGCTACGTGCAGCAACGCAACGAAAGCGCAAGGGCGAAGTAAGCGAAAGAGAAAATAACTCTTTCGTGTTCAAAGTCCAGAGTACAGGAAGTTACCAGTGTATTGGGAATGGAATAAGAAGGAGAAGAAGAGGACCGCAGAATCACCCAGAAAACACGTGAGCTCCAGCGCAATACGGCCTGGGTACAAAGGCCCAGCAAATAATTGTATGAGGGATTTATCTCGCGATCAGCGGTGTTGCTCAGCCACTGCCATCGTGGGCCTGGTTTTGCCTATTGCGGCGACGGAATCGCACGTGAAAGTAGGATGGGCTACATATTACTTGCTTCGCCGGCGTGCGCCAAGGGGGGGATAATTCGCGCATTGTGATGATGTCGTGGTTGTGGGAAGGCGGTGCTTTGCCTACAAGCTTCTGGCTGCGGACTAGCGCAGACCCCTCCCGCTGCGTGAAAGCTTGTTATTGGTTGGTTGATTTGCGTGTATGCAGGTGCGCCATCGCTTGCACGGTGGGGGTGTTATTTCACATGGTATACTCGTGGGCTTTGTTGGTTCGTGATGCAGGCGTTGTCGCGCGTAGCTCGCGATGGCTTGCGGAACCTGTGGGATGACTGCTTGGTGACGGCCTTGAGGGTGTCCACGGCAGTTCAAATGACCGCAAAAGGCCCACGACGTGCGGTGCTAGTGCATTCCATTCAGCCGTAGCCATCTCGTCCAGGGCGAGTCCAGGAACGGAAGACTTTACGTTTAGAATCCTCACCCTTTTCGAATTATTCGCGCAACACGAGACAGGATTTCCTGGCTACGCGCGCTTGATTAAGCTTACACCGCCCAGTCAGTTATGATGGTGGAGTTCGATTTCATTCCGCCGCACTCGACGAACGCACCGGTTCGCTCTCGCTTTCGTAGAAATCTCGAGACGCAGTTCTACTAAAGCGGTATGCGGAGCAGTCGAAGGCGCACGAATTATCACGGATTCGATACGAAGCCAACGAAGTGGCATGAAGCTCATCGCCGTAACAAAACACACCACCTGGGCATGCACACCAGCGAACAACATCAAGCTATCGCGGTCATATTAGATGGCAAAGTACCATGTCAATGACGAATCTAAATCAGGGCCAGGCGACGGTCTAAATCCGTGGCGCACTGGATCCTTCGTTGCGCACACAAAGCGTTGCGAGAGGTGTCTAATGTTGCTATACTAATACAACCACAACGCCAAAAGGCCCTGTAAACCACCGTGTATTTGTAGAACCCCAGGACTCCAAACAATGCCGCCAACCCCCAAGAAAGACTCCATTCAAATGGTAAGAACGCTGAGTACGCGCCGTGCACCTCTAACCTAGAACGCGAGCTCCCAAAAGCGCAACAAGAACCATAACGATCGCCACGACACCCAGCGCCTGCGACCTCTCCATCTCCATTTTCATTTTCATTTTCATCGGTTTCGGCTTCGAGTTCGCCACCGTCTGGGTCTGCTGGACAACAACAGGAGCCTCCACAGCCTGTTCCACCTTCTGCTTCATGGCCTGCACCTTCTTCCCACCCTTCTTTCCGCGCCTCCTGTTCTTTTTTGTCTTGGGCTTTGGAACGGCACTGGTCTCAACGTCGCTCTCATGCTCATCATCGTCATCGGTGTCAACGGAGGCAGAAGCGGTGTCGTCAGGGTCAGCGATGTCGTCGCCGACCAGTGCGTCATACCTATTTGACGATGCGATAACTTGATCTTGTTTGCGCTGCTCGTTGCGCCGCTGGGGAGCCGATTTGGTGGGCGCGGGAGAGGATGGGACGGTGTGAGTATGCTGTGGTAGCGGTGGTGATGATGGTGGCGATGGAGGCGCACTCGCGAAAATCTGGACGCCAGTGTTCTTCCTTGATACCGCTGGTTGAACGGGCGAGAGGGGGGGCATGTTGTAGAAGGCGGCTATGTCGGACTTGTGGGCTGCCTCTTCGGCTGAGTGTGACCGCGAGGACGAGACCATAGCACCAAAGTCCCTCACAACAACAGGAGACTCGGGAACCACACCTCCCCCCGGCACCGACATAACCTCAGCAGACGGCTCGGAACTGGCCAACGAATCGGGAGCCGGGAGGTTCTTAGGTCGTTCCGTAGGAGCGGTGGCAGTATCCTTACTGAACGTTGCCGCATACGTGACCTCAGCCCTTGTAGACTCGGCGGCAGCCCTGGCCTTCCCCGTATACATTTTCAGGGGGATGATGAGCCCCTCGTTCTCGCTCTCTTCTTCTTCTTCTTCTTCATCGTCCTCTTTTTCTTCATCGTCCTGCTCATCGCTCATGAGAAGGTTATACGGATTCGACTTCAATGAAGCCGGGATGGGTGGAGGGGACGAGGCAGGAGTTGCCAGAGATACGCGAGAGGCTTGCGAGACGGGGGAGGTGGGAGAGGTGGGTGTGGCGGGTGACTTTGAGCCACTGGAGACGGACTCGGATGGAGTCGTGGGTTTGGCTTGGGGTTTGGCCTGGGATTTTGAGCTGGTGGTAGCGGCGAGGGGAAAAGCGAAAGGTGCACCCCAATCCTGATCCCATTCTTGTGCCAATTGCGACAGGGGGATTATCGGGCTTCTGCTCCTCGTGCTAGTCGCAGTGGTGCCCGCAGTCGCAGTCCTCGCGCGTCTATCTCCGGAGACAATCGCAACAGGCACGTGATCCGGCCTTCCCGCACCCCCAACTCCAGTCCCATCAGTCCTCTCTTTTTTACCCAAGACCCCCTTCACCGGCACCACAACCCTCTGTTCCCCATTCATCTTCTCAGCCGCTCCAGCGGTCTTCGTCGCAGCCTCCTCGTGCTTCCCAGGCCAAGTCCCATTCTCCCTATCCTGCGCCATCAGCCGCGCGATAATCTCCTGATTCTCACCCGCGTCAGAAACACAACGCAGCTTCGCCATGACCATGAGCTCGAACGAGTTCTTGGTCTCGTAGTGGGCAAGGCTGACCGCGTGGGAGAAGGACGAAGAAGCAGCTGCGGGAGGAGACATTGTGGGATGGTGATGGTGTGGTAAGTATTACGTATCGTATGTCGTCAGGATCGTTGACTTGAAACTGGAGAATGCTCAAGCTTGGGTGTTGGTCGCGGTAAGTTGAGAGTGAGAGGCGGGTTGGAGTAGTCAGGAGGGAGAAGGGAGTGCGAGAATTTAAAAGTGAGAGAGTGACTTTGCGATCGAGGGCGGTGGAGGGGCGCGTGCGCTGAACCCCAAGGTGAAAATGATCCAGGTTGAATATTGCGCTTTGTGTATAGGTGCGATAGCGAGTGGAGAAGTGGAGGCAGATTACCAGTACCAAAGTCTATGTCTACCAGTGGGCGGTTGAGCATTCGCGTAATTGTCATTCACGGCCAGTGATCTGGCCACGTACCCCACGAGCGAAAGGGTAGACCCGTGCTTTCACTAGATCTGCAGTGGGAACTGTACTTATCGCATACTGTTGGGTGCGATGTTGTGTTGTAATCTTGAAGATGGAGCACACAGGGATGTAGTAGATGGACGGCCATTATCAGGGCTGGTGGAGACATAGGCGCCAATGATGTTGTTTGCATTGGCATCAGAAAAATATAGCAGACGAGGGGTATCATAAAGAGACAAACGGCGATAAGAGTGACGTTGGTACAACACCCACTTTCGCTTCCCGGGAAGAGACACAGTGGCGTATGGAGCAAAATCGGACGAACTGATCGAAGAATGCCACACTTACGGCAATACTGGTATCTTCGTAATCCATTCCTCAATCTCCCAGCCGTTGTCTTGATATAGCTTCTGGAAGTCTAATCGAAACTGTGCTGCTTTTGTGACAATCTCCGCGACGCTGCGATCGCGCAAATGGCCGCTAAGTGGATGAGATGAGTCGGGCCGGCAATACGTTGTGAATATCTTCTCGAAGACCTGAGGACCTAGAGTACATGTCAGTGCGATGACGATAAGCTGTGAACAACGACTTCCAACGTACCAGCAAGATGTCTCAAACCTTCAAGCAGAGCGGTCTCTTCCTGTTCGGTCCACTCCGGCTTATTGCTCAACGCCGATGCTTGACGATGCGGTGGAGCTGAGCGAGGTGTGAATACTGGCAAACGCTCAAACACAACGCCGTTAGCGTCTCTCTCCTCCAAGTCCTCGAGCCTTGTGATAGCCAGCTTGCTTCTTCTGCGCGCATCGGGCTCGCAAGTCAGGCGAACGATGTGCAGAGCCTGCCAACGTTTCCACCGCTGCGTTCGTGCTTCCTCAAGTTCGGCTTTACGGCTCTCCTCCTCTTCTCTTTCTTGCATCTTGCGCTCGAAGTCTTCTTGTATCTTGCGGTGCTCCTCCCTGGCTTTGAGTCTACTAAGATGTCCGCGATACGCTTTGCTTACTTGTCGAAGATGGGCAATGAGACCAATGTCGACATCCTTGATGATTCGGTCGCCCTTCGAACGTTGAGGTACAGAAACGTTCCACTCAGCGATCTTATCTTTGAAAGCCAGCATCTGGTTGATCAGGGGTGATAGGATCTTCATAGCTTCCAAAGACTCGGTTACGTCACCGCTATTGTCCTGTAGCCACGCATACAATGCTTCGAGATACAGTGTAAGAGCCCGGAAAACATGACGATAAGCATCTCGTTTGAAGGCGCGCTGGTCCTTCTTTTCGACATCAATACTGATCTGTCCGAGCGCTCCTCGTAAATCGTCGGCCTCATCGACGACAGTTTCCATGGAAAGGTCACCTTCCTGGATATGCGCTCTGTATGTCTTGCATGCGCGTCTGATGGTGGTAGCCAGCTTGGTCCGGCACTTTCCTGGCCGTACCTCTAGGTTGAGGAACTCAAAGACGGCGTCGAGGCTCCCAGGCCTTCCTACAGGGCGCGTTATGTTATCAGCTTCCTCAGCGACGCTACTAGCGTCGTCTTCGTCTGAATCGTCCCCAGACACGTCAATAACAGGCGCGTGCTCAGTCTCTGGGGCATCAGCAACTTCCGGAGCTTGCTTGGGCGGCTCTGCGTGCTTTTGCAACCCTCTCCCATTAGCTGGTAGCTGCTGGCTAGACTCGACAGTGCCGTTGTCACGGTTCTTACGAGGCTTCAGCTTTCGTGCAGGGGGATTTATGGGATTTATGAGATTTAAGAGCCACCTTTCCCTTGCCTTCGCTTTCGCTGAATGGACTTCGGCGGCTTCTCGCGTGCTTTGAATATCGTCATGTCCAGTCGCAGTCGCCACATCCTGCTGTTGCGAGCTGCGCCGGACCGGTATGCGTACTTGTGGGTGACTCTTTCTCGATGCGCTCGACTCGCCAGTCGTCCGCCTTTGTTTCCTCGGAATCTTGGAGGGCTGTTCTTCGCTGTGATCCGACTCCGACTTCCGTTTCGACGTTCTTCGTGTACTGCTGTTGTCCTCCTCCGCACCAGCAGGTTCTCCATCTAGGATTGTCGTACCAGTGGGATCGACCACGCCATTGTCGCGTATGGGCGGGGCGGCTTTAGATGGGGTGTGTTCCGGCGGTGCGAGCTCCGGCGGCGAGGAACGTATGTCGGGTTCTGCTTCTACCAGATCCTCCACTCGTTCTTCTTCATCCACTTGTGGCCCGGCGTCATGGTGCACCGGGAGCTCTGACGAAGGCGCGGGGACGTCACTCCGCTCCTCGACTGCCTCCACAGTGGCCTGCACCTTCTTCTTGGCTGGCTTCTTCTTCTCCTTCTTCTTCCTATTGATCTTCAACGGCTTATGATTGACCTTCAGCGGGAGCGCGTACCGACCCTTCTCAGGGCTCAGCTCAATCTCGTACGGGTCTCCTCTTATCGCTAGGTTCTGTCTGGCTCCCTCGGGGAGTATGCTGACTCGTTTGAGCTTTCCAGGACGCGCTGCATTGAGGAGGTTGGCGCCGAGGACTGCGGACGATGAGGGTGGGTTTGCGCTTGGAGAGTTGGACTCGGCGAGGAGCTGCTGGGTTGCGGCATTGTCGTCTGATGAGGGCGTGGAAGGTTTTGGAGCTGTAGTATGAGTGTCAGCTTATATAAGCTCGGATGAGAGCTCCATGTGGGATTGTGTTGCTAGTGGGCATGTTGGAGAGCTTCGCGTCTACCCGCCAGCTCGACGGTAGCTGCGACGCCACGTACCTGCCTGCTTGGGCGCATCCTTAAGCCGCGCCATATAGTGAGGGTCAATAATACTAGCGCATCGGCTCTAATGAAGGTATCCGAGCGATGACGGCGATGTGGGGGGAGAGCAAAGTCATCCCCGCGGCCAAAAGCATCCAACGCTGTCAAGGCGCGAAAGAGTGGGTCCATCCCCGAAACACGCTATCACATGAGATCGTCCCTGCCCACTAACCCCCAAACAACCACCACACCACGCACCCCGCCATGTCATCAAATCCGTCCAAAGCACCTGTACTAGAAGTACTGAGTAGAGATGCGTCGCACAGTTTCCAAGTCCCCGCGAAACGCATCCACGATGGCGACGACGTCACTTTCTTCTTGGCAAGCAGAGCCTATGCCGATATCATGACTTTCATCTTCCAGCTCAACACGGCCATGATACCACGGAAAATCAAGAGCGAAGATAAGAACAGCACAGAAACGGCGAAAGAGTGGAAGTTGCATGACCCGGATGTGCCCCATCCACCCGTTGTGCAAAGCCTCGCCAAGCTTATCTCTACCCTTCAATCGATAATGGATGAAGCGCCACCAGACCCCGGACCGCGTCGTTTCGGAAACGTAAGCTTCAGGACGTGGTACGATATCGTCAGAGAACGAGTCTCTGGACTGTTGGATCAGTATTTGCCGGAAGAAGTACTGTCCTTCAAATCCTCATCCGACGTCTCAGCCAAAACCGAGTTGGAAGCGTATCTTATCGGCAGTTTTGGAAGCTCTCAGCGCCTAGACTACGGTTCAGGCCATGAACTGAGTTTCCTCGCTTTTCTAGGCTGTCTCTGGAAACTCGGAGCTTTTCCCGCGTCGCAGGACGGCGAGCAAGAACGCGGCATTGTACTTGGGGTCATCGAACCGTACCTCGAATTGATTCGCCGACTCATCTTGACATACACCCTTGAACCTGCCGGGTCGCATGGCGTATGGGGACTGGACGATCATTCTTTCGTACCTTACATATTCGGTAGCGCACAACTATCACCAGCCATCAACACACCAGCAGACGTGGCAGCGGAAGGCTCATTACCATCCGCTCCCCACCCAGGCGACGTAGCAAAAGCACCCGCAGTCGCCCGCGAGCGAGGCCGGAATATGTACTTCAGTGCCATTGGGTTCATATACGACGTCAAGAAGGGTCCATTCTGGGAACACAGCAACATTCTCTACGATGTCTCCGGCGTCAAGGCAGGATGGGCCAAGATCAACAAGGTTAGTATCATGACACCCTTGATTACGTGCATTGACTGACCTCATATCAGGGAATGATCAAGATGTACAATGCAGAAGTACTGTCCAAGTTCCCTGTGGTTCAGCACTTCCCCTTCGGCTCGCTGTTCTCCTTCTCTGCCGATCCGAACGCCAAGGCCATTCAAGCAAGCGTCCACACAGCCAGTCAGCCAAAGTCAAGTACACCATCTAACACGGCACCAACTGCAAGACCGCAGCCCGCGTTAAGAGATCCGATGGCTGAGCCAGCGACTGGCATGCCAATTAGAAGCATGCCTGGCGCTACGGTTGGGACCGCGGCACCATGGGCTAGTGCTGGTACTACAAGGCCGGGTAGTGGCATGCCAGCTGCGACTGCTGCGCCCTGGACTACTGCCAGAGGTGCAGATGCAGGTGTACCCAGTGGTCCGAATCAGCCTACTAAAGCGCCTTGGGCAAGTAGGACACCTGCACCGCCGCCGCCAGAAAGTGGTACTGCAGCACCGTGGGCAAGGGGGAATGCTGGAAGCGCGCCAAGTGCACAAGAGGGCACGAAGGCACCTTGGGCGAACCAGAGATGAGATGCAATGGGCAATGAAGGTATGTAAAGTGATAATACATGTCTTGTCAACGATGATACCTGGCCAAGGCTCGATACCATATCGTCTAGCGATACAAAGCCATCAGCATAAATCTACCTAGCCAGTGCCGCAAGCGCACAAGGAATTAAGGTTATGAACGTTCCTTACTCCCTCCACCGTCCTTCTCCTTACTACCCCTCTCTCTACTACTCCTCTCCCTGCTATCCTTCTCAGCTCCATCCCCTCCATGCTTCTCCCTTCCCCCTTCACCATCACCGTCACCATTCCCATTCCCATCCTTCCCTTCATCCCCTTCCCCCCCATCTCCATCTCCATCCCCACCCCCATTCTCCCCCTCCTCCCTCTTCTTCCTATTATCCAAATCAAACTGCAACCTCGTCCGATTCAACATCAACTCCGCCACCCTCTCTCTCTGCACATACACAGTGACCGCAAGATCAAACAACGCCATTTCCTGCTCTTGTGTGTATTCGCCTTCGGCCACACCGAGACTCTCGTGGGGTTCGGGTATCTCATCCGCGCCGAAGAAGGAGTCGGAAGGGGATGGGGGTGAAGGTGGTGGGTGTGGGGGACGTGATGGGGGTTGTTTGGAGGGTTTGGAGGGTTTGGGACTGTGGCTGCGGCTGCGGTTGCGGTGTTTTTTGTGGTGACGGTCTTGGCTGGGGCGACGGTCCCGACGGTCTCGACTACGCCGGCGATCTTTACCACGGCCATGTGAAGAGCTGCGATGACGCTGTCTACTTCGTTTCCGCTCTGGACTTCTCTCCCGCCCTCGACTACGCTGCCTTTCTGCGCCACGGCTCCGCTCTCGACTCTTTCTCACCCCTCTACTCCTCACCCCCTCCTCCCTCCTCACCTGTCCAGAAGGTGGTGGACTCTGTTCACGCGGCCGTTGCGACACCGGTGGGGGCCGTCGCGAAGAAGCGCGATCGAGCCTTGCAGAGCGTCCCCGTGGCTTTTCCACATAATGACCTTCTCCTCTATACCTATCATCCCTCTTCACCAACGACCTCGACCGACTCCTACTCCGACTACGACTGCGACTGCGACTACGACTGCGACTCCCATCCCCCGATCTAGGAGAAACATCACAACTCCCCCCCATCCCCATCGTCCGGTGTCTCCTCGCCATCCTCTCCAACTCCCCACTATCCAACGCCCCCCTTCTCCTCCTCTCTTCAGACCGCGTGGTACGGCGGGCCGGCTGGTAGTGGTCACAGTCTTTCCCATAGCGGTCATAGCCTTTCCCAGTCCCATCCTGTCCTAGTCTCCGACGTGCACTAGGCCCCCTTGGCCCTTCACTCAAGGATAAGTATGAGAGAAGAGATAGTGCGTCGTCGTCGTCTTGCTGCTCGGAGTAATAGCCGGATCCAGAGCGGAACTCGCGGTCTAGTGCGTGCAGACCGGAACTGAAGGATATGGGGTTGGCTTTTGTACCTAGTGTTGGTGTTGGTGTTGGTGTGTCTGGACGTGCTCTAGCCATTCTTTTTTGGTGGTAAGCGGAAGGGTCTTGACGGGGCTTCGATATGTTTTCTCGGGGTGGTGCCATGGCATCTCGCCGTTCTTTCGACGGGGTGTCTCTTGGAAGTGGAGGCGCGTCGCGCAGTGACTTTGATACTATCGGTTTTCCGGTTGTCATCGATAGCGGCACGGGCTCTGCGTGACGCGTGGAGCGAGGCGGAATACCGGTTGGATTCGATGGCGTTGCGGTTGCGATACGTGCTTTTACTTCTTCAATCTCTTTCTTGTTGGCCATGGTGAAGTGCTTGGCTAGCATTGCTGGGTCTAGTTCTCTTGGTCTGCGCTCTTTAAACCGCCTTGCTTCGTCGTTTTCATCCACCCGAGATCGTTTTATGAGAGGCTCTCCGAGTATTTCACCGCCCCCGAATGGTCTTTTTCCGGTCTTTGGTGGTGGTGGGGGCTGTGCGCTGGTCGGCTGTAACTCCTCTACTGGCATGTCTGGCGTAGGAGCAACGCGGAGGAAACCGTTGTTCTCCTGGTGCGAAAACCCTGCAACTGGTGACTGTCCGTCTGCCATGATGAATATAGGAAGAAGCTATTGATAGTCGCTGTACAAGAATATTGAGGTGCGCAATACGATGAGCCTGCTCTTGCGACGAAGAAGATGCTCGCTCACCTGCTATGTACGATGAAGTCTTTGTTCACTATGCGTCTTTAGCAGACAATCGCCTACCTTCTTTGCGCCTTTCACTCATCCACCATCATGCTAAGGACAACAAAGACTCGGCGAAGTCAAAGCGCCCGGACAATCAGCACTTCAACACAAAGCCGTTCACCAGTGCTATCCCGAATGTATGACGTGGTCTTGGAAATACTAATGACCCTAACTACTACATCGACTTCATATGTGTCGCGTGTTACCTATAAGTAACATTGTAGGGTGCAAGATCATGTATGATATCCTGGAGTATCGGCGAGGTGGGCATATGTCACTGCGAGATGAGCTTCCGAAGTCGAGAATGACCCAGCATCTCTATACTCTTTCCTCATGTTTCGACAAGTTAGCCATCTGGCCCTCATAAGTATCAGTGCACGGCAAAAGACGTCGGTCAAATTGGAAGAGTAGCTTTCTTGTATTGATGTCGAGATGGTTGAGATGATAGAAGATGATGTCATCAGTTGCTTCGATGTTGAGTTTGATAACCATATAGACTGCGACACCCATGTCAACTGTGAAAGTACCACTGTGCCCATACGTCCCCAAACCCACGATCACTGAAAAGATACTTCACGCTTCCCATTCTTCTACTGGTCCACGATAGCGAGCGCAGCAAGACCCACCTCGGCATCATCCGTGTTAGCCGCTCCAGCCTCGGCAGCATCGAACCCCGGTAACGGCGGGTACTCGTCCGGGTCACGGTCGGGGTTGCGCAGGGCGTTATCGTAGATCTGATTGGCCAAAGTAGGTGTGTACTCATCGCGCCAGAGGTTGAGCTCTTCCCATGTCTTGCCGTTGGTAGCATCGTTGTACCCCAACAGCTCTGCAGAGGAACACTGACCAGCGGGTACGACACAGAACCCACCGTATTTGTAGTCCGCATGTGTGCAACACGTCATAGCCTGCTCAGCTAGTAGCACCTCGTACTCGAACCCTAGGAAACAGATGGGATACATGCGACATCGGTATGTTGTCCCCGGGAACAGGACACGAAACGCTGATTCGACAAGAAGGGCGAGCCAAGTCGTGGACTGGTGCTTGTCGTACTGCCGCTTGCGATATGAGATGTTCTTGGTGTAGCCACAGTGAACTCGAGGTTGTTTCATAGGTGTGTCCTTTTGGTCCTCGGGCGTCTGCACATCGGCTAACTCCATGATGGCGTGACACCACGTTGCCACCTTCAGAGCACGTTTCTGTGAGCACGCTAGGTAGTAGTGGCGACCCTCTTTGAGCCCTTCCAGAGTCGATGGCTGTTGAGAAGGATGGAGGGCCGCGTCGATGCGGAGGGCCATGTCCAGGTCCAGACCATAAGCGTATCCGAACAGAATTTGAGCGACTTGGCAAAACTGTCTTGGCGTGGGCGATTCTCCACGGTCATCGACAAAGGGGCGAACATAGATCGCCGGTGCGAACTTCTCCAAAGTACGCATCTGCCACGGACTATCCGGACGGAAGTGCTTGACGATATCTGGATCTGTCTCGCTGAGATCGCGACGGGCCAGCGAACCGTCCAGGGTGTACCGTAGGACATTCAAAGGGACACTGGCGAAGAGGTAGCGTAGTCTCTGTCTCCAACCCAAGTACATGAGACCGTGCGTGTTGCCTCCCTGCTCCTTCTCCTGACTGTATATGGTATCGATCAGAACGGCGTAGCCCTTTTCGACGAGTACCTGGGCAAAGGGGAGGTGAAAGACCTTGCTGGAGTAACAGGCTATGTCAATCTGCTGGCGTGGAAGTGGTAGCACCAAACCGACCGTCTTCGAGCTGATACTGTCGTTCGAGGTGATTTGAAGATGCGATAGAGCTTGGTTTACGTCTTCGATCTCGTACTCAGTGACCGACTCATCATCAGAGTCTGGGATGACGGGACGGTTCCTCTTTCCCAGAGTGCTGTGCCTATAAGATCTTAGCGAGTATCGAGACTGGCCATGGGTCAGTACTCACGATGCAGGTTGAGTGTCCTGATGAGAGGCCGGTGAAGATTCAGTGTCATTCGCATCCGAGACTGGAGTGTGCGTGACTTTGAGACGCTTAGCACCCTTGCCCTTGGTGCCTTCGTTCTTGCGAGGTGGCATTTCGTATGTGTGGGAGTGTGAGTGGATTTGAAACAAGTCGAGGTGGTGAATGTGAAAGATTTGAAAGAGGTGATGATGGATTTGAAACAGGCGGTGAATGTGAAAACTGCGGAGGTGTCAAAAACCAGAACCAGAACCAAGCTACAGACGAAGACAACCCCAGAGTCACAGACCAGCGCTACGAGCGCCATGACCAAGCGTTGACGTAGTATCGGACGATTTCAAAGCGTTGAGGCAGACCATCGGCCGTGTTGGGTTAGCAACTAGACAGGAGGCAGGTGCGAGCGATGAATATGGCAGCGAGCAGCCTCGCTCATCCCGAGAAGCTGCTTGAACTGGAAGGGACGTCTGGTGTGACGCACGTAACGCGTCTTTGCAGTAGGTGGTGATGAGGGCGCCTCGTTATGCGGAGTTGTAGAAGAGTGATCCTCAATAGTCTTGGTGAATGATCAGGAGAGCTGACAGCAGGGCTAAACACCGCGTCAGCGAAAGGTTCCAAGGTTCGCGGCTTCCCGATGGTAGTTTCTCACCAGGAAGAGCACACGCCACTGCTGCATGCCACATGCCAAAGTCACGCTTGCCCACCGGGCGAGTGAACAGGTACTTTCATATGCTTGAAGGCAAGAGAAGATGTCTCAGCGATGGGAAAGACATCCACTGGGCTGTTTGATAATCGAATTAGTGTTCCGTAGGATTACACCATAGTCTTCGTAGGATACCGGATACCCGCCATTCTTGACTGCTCCAAGAATGCGATAGCTGCCATGCAACCCCCTCTACAGCTCCAAACCCACGCCCAAATTTACGCAACATTCTCCATCAACCCCGCCCCCACCGTCCTCCCCCTCTCCCTAAGCACAACCCTCATCCCCTCCTCAACCGGCAACTCCCTCTCCAACTGCACCACCACCCTCGCCACCTCCCCCGGCTTAACAATCCTAGGCTTCTTCTTCACAACCTCGCCCGTGAACTTATTCAGCTTAGCACTCAGCGTCCTAATCCCCGCTGGAGAATTCAGGGTACTCCGGAACACCTCCACGGGCATGGGTAGCACGTGTTCGAAAGCGAGGAGCTTGGATGTGAATGCTTTGACGAGTTTGACGGGGTCGCTACGCGCGCAGACGATGTCGCCTTGGCGGAGGTGGACGGGGTCTATGTCTGTGAGGTGGAGGGTGGGGATTTGACCGCATACGGCCCAGTCTACGGGGGCGTCTTGTACTTCGATTGATTTGATGGTGGCGGTTTCGTTGGCGGGGAGGGCGAGGATGACGTCGCCTACTTGCAGGGTGCCGGCGTCGATGCGGCCTGATATGCTGAGTGGAGAGCGGATGTCGCCGCGGAAGACGTCGGCGACGGAGAGGCGGAGGGGCTTCGTGAAGTTTCGGGATGGGAGATCGATGCGTTCGAGGGCTTCTAGCAGGGTCTCGCCAGTGTACCAGTGGGCGGCGGAGTTCTCGATCTTCTTCGCGACGTTCTCTCCTGTCAGGCCTGCGAGCGGGATGAAGGTTATCCGCTTTTCGAGGAAGCTGGCTTCGGTGAGGAAGGCAGTCATGCGTTTGGAGATGTCGTCGAAGCGCGATTTCGACCATCCGACGGTGTCCATCTTGTTCACGGCCACGATGATGTGCTGCATGCCCATACTCCGTGCAATCAGGATATGCTCCTTGGTCTGCCCCTTAAGACCAGACTCGAAGCTGTTCGTACTTGCGTCGATGACCAGAACGGGGAAGTCGGCTTGTGATGCACCTGATATCATGTTGGGGATGAAGTCCTTGTGTCCGGGCGCATCCAGAATGGTGAATTTGGTCATGTCGGTCTCGAAGTAGTTTGTAGCAATGTCCACGGTGACACCACGACTCCGCTCTTCGCTTGTTTCATCCATGACCCAAGCAAGCGCGAACGAAGATTTGCCGATGGTTTCTGCTTCTTTTCGTAACTTGTCTATTGACCGCTGGTCGATGACTTTGAGATCGTAGAGCAACCGCCCCATGAGCGTACTCTTGCCATGATCGACGTGGCCTGGGGAAGTTAGCATAAGATTTTCATAGCATTGACGATAAAATCTACTCACCAAGTACTACAAAGTTCGCCAACCGCTTCGAGGCGCTCTTCTCAAACTCATCCATGACGTTCAGGTTCTTGCTCTTCACTCTCGGTTCGTCGGCCACGGTGAGCTTCTCGACTGATTCGGTCAGGTCACCGTTCGTTTGCTTCTTCTTCTTCTTTGGTGTTGTTCCTGTATGATTTAGAGATGTTCAAAAAGAAGTTGTATCAAAATCTAGTGACGTCCGCCACCTGCGCCCTTTGCCTGTGCTGCCCGCACAATGTCATCCGGACTCGGCCCAGCAAAAGCACCAGTGCCATCATACGATTTGTACGCAGCAAAGGGTAGTGGGACCTCTTGTAGCGGTGCTTGGGTGTGTTTCGATGACTCGTCAGAGCCGCAAAGGGTGGAAGCGAACATGGAGGCGGTGGCGCGTTGAGCTGGCGATTCTACGACTACGGCAGGCTGGGGTGCTTGGGGCTCTTCTATCTCGGGTTCTTTCGGGGCTTCTGGTGCTGGCGATGGCGACCGTCTGCGGATGGGGTATCGAGAAGGACGAGCTGGGCCAGTGCCGCCGAGAGAAGGATTGCCACCCTCCTGGTTCTTCACCGAAAGCTTGTCCAGCATGGCGATCGCCGAGTCCGCGTCATTGTTGGCTTTCGACGCAGCAGCTTCCGCGTCTTCTCGTTCCTTTCTCCGCTTCGCCGCAAGAGCAGCCAGCTTCGAGGAGCCTCCCAACAAGCCGCCTTTGTAGTGTGGAGGATCGATGGTGATGACGCCTAGTCGTTCGGGTGGTACGTTGCCCCAGGGCACATCCCAGAAGAAGTCTGTGACAGCGTTGGTAGGCATCGCATCGAGATTGGGGCAGCGGTGGAGGATGACAGCGAGGCAGCAGACGCGTCTACATAGCTAGAGTGGAGTGCAGGTGAAGAGTGGAGTGCAGTGAGCGTGCTTACCTGCGGTAACCGGCGCATTCTGATCCGCCACACTAGCAGCTTGATCGAACCTTGACGCAGGTTTGGCCTTTTCCTGCTTGGGCCTGCACCAAGTCAGCATCCGTCTCACATCCAATTCTTCGAGAGATAGTACTAACGCCTCCGTCTTCACTTCCCCCACCCCAAGCCTATTCTTCAAATAACTAACACTCTTCCCAACATCATAGTAATAATGCCACAGCGCCTCCTGTATCTGCTCATCGCTCGTAAAGTCGCTCTTATCCCCCAGCGCCTCGCGTACTCCTATGGTACCTACACGCATCTGCTCTTTATCGTCTTCTGTCATGCCATCTCCTGCATCGGCGCCACCAGCTCCGGCTTCTTCTTCCTCGTAGTAATCGTCATCGTCGTCGTAGATGTCGTCGTCATCGTAGTCGACGTTGCGCGTGCGCGAGAAGCCGCTTTTGGGGGGCATCGCCGCGATATTGCTGTTGTTGGCAGAGTGAGGGGGAATGTGAGAATTATCGGGCGCGCGGAGGTCGTGGATGAGTCGGTTTCGCAGGCGTGTAGAAATCGTTCGGGAGAGATGTAGCTTTCTAGTGTGAATTATCGCGTCCCTTGGTTGACGTCGGTGGTGGGGCTTGCCTTGACGTGTAGCGCGGGCTGCTATTTGCCCCGCGCTAGTTGGAGCTTTGGGCAATGCAATGACGATGATTCGTCTACTTTTCACTAGACAACCTTGGAAGAGGAGCTGCAATCATCATGGTAATTGTTCGATTCAAGTTCAAGCTCGCCAACAGCTCGACACACCCGTCGAAAGATACAGCAGTGGGGTATAGTATTAGTGGAAAGAGACAATGCTGAAAACCCTGGCCCGACACTCGCCCTTCGCCCGCTGTATTCAAAAAGATTGTTTTTGTGGTTTTCTGACCCTTTTCTGATGCGGCGTTTCCTCAACTGTGCGGTGATGCCCGGTGGCTTCTCTTAAGCCGAGAAGGAAACTCCCTATTTCTCCGCCTTCTCCTCAACGGCGGCTGGGACAGCAGTGGTAGCGGTAGGTTCAGCGACAGGCGCAGGCGCAGGAGCAGCGGGAGTAGAATCCGCAACTGCAGGGGTTGGTGCAGGGGCGACGGGCTCCTCAGCTTGCGCAACGGGAGCTGGTGCCGCAGCTGGTGCAGCGGGCGCAGCAGCCTTGTCCTCGCCAAAGTTGGGCTCGTCAAACATAGGGCCGCTTGTAGCACTCATGCCGGCAGCGGGCTGGCTGGTAGGCACAGCAGGCATTTCCACGGGGGCAGCAGGTGCAGGTGTATCGGTGACCTTGGCCTCAATATCCTTGGGGGCCTCGGTGGCAGCGGGCTGAGACTCGGCAGCAGTCGGGGGAGCGGGCGCGACGGCACCAACGGGTTCGGGGGCTGGAAGATGATGCGTTAGTCTGGGTGTCTTGAGCGATGAAGAGATATAAGAAATACTAGTCAAGACAAATGTCGTATCGCGCAGAAGTCGTAACGTGCTGGTGGAAGTGCGCTGGTGCTAACACATAGCCATCCATCTAGGGCAAGAGTCCCACACCTAGATGGGGCCGTTCCACTGGTTGTCTAGGTCGACCTTCTGTCGCCGCCTAGAGCCATCGCAGGCTTCGTTCCCGCGGTACGGTAATGGACTGGAATGCGAACGAGATGTAAACCTACTGGACGTGGCCTTCTTGACCTCAGTCAGGGCCGCAGCTTCATCCTTCTTCACCTCGCTCTGAGCTGGATCTGAAGCTGGAGCTGCAGCGGGCTCAGCAGGCGCTGGCACTGGCGCAGCGGGCTCGGCGCTGGTAGCCGCGGGTGTCGTCTCAGTCTTTGCGGGCTCGGGCGCAGTCGCTGGAGCTGGGGCAGCCGGCGTAGTCTCGGTGGGCTTGGTCTGCGCAGCCGCTTCACCCGTGGCCGTGGGCTTTGGCTCTTCCTTCTTGGACTTCTTGCCCCTGAAGAGACCCTTGAAGGCCTTCTTCATCTGGTCCATGGCGTCGAGTGCTGTTG